ATTAAGGCCAAAACTTGGAGAAGTTCCTTCCTCCTCCCCCCCCCCGCCGCAGCCACCTGAATCTGCCAGGCTGCCCTTGAATAACCCCACTGGGAGAGGCGTGGGGGGTGTCCGAGCTTTCTTCCAAGGTCAACGGGTTCAAGCCACCCATTGCAGTTTGAATTTTTTTTAAAAAAAACATACTTTTAAGATTTTTAAGCTGGCTGGACTTGGGTCCTAACGACCTTACAGGGTTGTTGTGATGATGGGGGGAGGAGGGCGCCCTCTTTTGTTCACTGGAGGAAGGGCAGCCTTTGTGTTTGGCCTTTTCAACCACCTTCTGCAGAACTGGAGAGTCAGATGCAGCCTTGAGGATTCTTCCAAGAACAGCAGAATTATTTTTGGCGGCTTAGTCAGGGAGAGGCCAGAAGATGTGCCACCTCGCCGGAAAGAACTAGGAAGAACAAAAGCACCACCAGATTTAGGCTGAGAACAGAGTGCGGAGGAGGAGGAGAAAGAGACAGATGGCTCTTGAGGTAGGGGGAGAAAATAAAAGCCTTGCAGGCATGGAGGCAGAAGTGAGAGAGAGAGAGAGAGAGAGAGGGTGAGGGTGAGGGAGAGGGAGAAAGGAAAGGAAAGGAAAGGAAAGGAAGGAAAAGCAAGAGAGAGGGAAGGAAGGAGCAAACCAGAAAGGCAGAAGAAAAACTCCAGCCACAAGCCAAGCTCCCCAACGGTTCTCTGCAAAGCAACCCAGAGACGATCCTGATGGCAAAGAGCAGGTCGAAAGGAAGGCTCAAGTGCCAGTGGGGGTGGGGGTGGGTGGAGACGGGAGGGGGTGTTGCGACTGGACTGCCCGCCTCTCACGCCCCGCCAGGGCTGTCCTCCAAGGGCCTCGAGGGGTTTCCCCACTTTCCCAGAGCAGGTCCTTGTATTGCAGCCCACCGAGCGGGAACGGTTGCCGCTGGACTCCATCCTCTTTGCGGGACCACAAGGCACAGACGGCCAGGATTCGTGTTGGAGGCAAGCTCCACCCTGTCAGGCTCAGTTGAGCTGGCGAGGCCCCTTCTGGATCAGACAAAGGCCAGCTCCTTGCCGCCGGGCCCTCTCAAAGGCCACCAGCAGGGCAGGAGGGCAGTCTTCCCTCTCACCTTCCCTTGCCACAGACCCTGGGCAGGTCTCGGAAGCCATACGCCGTCGCCCCAGTGGCCTTCTCCTGCCGCAACATACCCAGTGTCCCTTCTTTCCAAGCCATCCCAAGCTGGCTATTCCAACCGCTCCCAGTGCAGCTGGGCTTTGCTCCACAACAGCACCCAAACTTTGGGACTCTGACTCGGCCAGCACATGGACCCTCACAAGCTTTTTCTGGTCCACCATCATGTGGACGTGTCCCAGCTCCAAGGCTACCAGGGCCAAACTTACAGCCTGCCTGTTCAGTGGTGTTTGGCCCTCCCCCTCCTTTCCCTGCATCACAGACAGACAAGCATCTCCATTCAAAAGCACGAGCATCATGTATCGGACTGGCATGCAAAGAGCCTCTAATCCTCCATCACCTAAACCTTCCCAGCACCTCCCAAGCCTGTATCGTCCACAAGCCAGAACCCCCCATGGCTGAGAAGGGAGGACCATCTTCTCCCCAGCCAGCAGGGCATGGTTTGGTAGCCTCTCAAGAACTCAGACCACCGGTCCAGGCCTCCGAGATCTGTCTCTCTCTCCCCCACCGCCCCCTCATGGCCACCCCACCCCTCCCCTGCCCCTTCAAGAGGGGACCCTGTGCTTTCTGGGTGCCAATAAGAGAACATGCCCAGGACAGGCATCAGTCTAGCTTTTATTTTAGCAAACAGCAAATTCATCATTTATTCATTCTACATTAGCAATTAGATCATCCTTTCACATTGGTTTTGTTTGATTTTTTTTTTAAAAAAGGGGAGACGAAAACTTAATTATTATCTTTTCTTTTAAAATAACAAGTTTCAAAAGCTGGGGGTTCAAGAAGACTTGTACATAAGCTTGGTTTTGGGGGAGGTCTCAGAAACCAAATGTGGGGAGACAGCTACGCTAAAACAACAGAACACTATAATGAAGGGAATGAAGAAGGCATCAGCAGGAACCTCACCCCCAGGTCCCACTCCCGTTCGTCTGGCATCTGCTTTTCTCTGAGAAGGCCAGCTTGCCCGTGGGGTGGGGTGACTTGCTGGCCTGCAAGACTGATGCAAGGCATCCCACCGGCAAGAGAAAGGAGGAGGGCGGAGAAGGTGTTTTAACAGAGCAGTTTCTATCTTCCTGGGGATCCATTTCCATGTTCAAAAAATATAAAAATCTCTGCAACCAGTTTTAAAAGCCAAAATTCCCAGATGCACCCTGTACAGTTTTCATTTTTCCCCTCTTAAAGAACAGTCCTATGTTACTGGTGATTTTTTTTTTTACAGGGGGAAAGGGAGAAGGTGAAATGGAAGGAAGAGGAAAAAGAGAGAAAGATAGATAACTGTATGTGTGTGTGTGAAAGGACAGAAGAGGCCCAGGGACCCAAAACCAGGCAGAAGCAAAATGCTCGGCTGGTAGGGGTCACTTTGATTTTTCCGGTTCCCTACCTCAGTGCTGCAGGCAGAGAGAGAGAGAGAGAGAGGGGTGTTGAAGCCTCAGAGCTGAGATACCACAGGGAGGGGGTGTAGGGATGAGACAAGCGCAGGGGGCTCCTCTCGGGCGCTGCCGTCTGCCACTCCGGATGGCCTACTTCTTCTTCATCCGCAGAGACTTCCGGACGGAAGGCTTGCCCTTCTTGCCCTTGGCTGAGGGCTTCAGGTCTTTCTTGGCGTTCACGGCTGGCTTCTTCGGGGCAGGGCCGTTGCCCGAGAGGTTCTTGGCTGCCACCCGTGGGGGGGCTGGCTTGGCTTTCTTGGCCGGGGTAGCTTTGGCCTTCGGTGGGGGCTTGGCTTTCCCCCGATGGGCCTTGGGGGCCTTGCGGGGTTTGGGCTTGGCCTCCCGGCGCTTCACCAGGGCAGAGGCCCTGCTCCGTGCTTTCGGAGGGGGCCGTTTCTGCACCCTGAGGAGGAGGAGGAGGAGGAGGAAAAGGGAGGGAGGGAAGAAAGTGCTCAGGACCCTAACCCTGTTGGAGGCACAAGGCGCCAGGGTGGGTGGGTGGCAGCCAATTCAATCACCTCCTTCATTAACTGTGATGTGGAGTTCAAACTGGAGGGCTCCCATTCAAAGATGAGAAACTGCCAGTTTGGGGACTACAACTCCCCAAATCCCCCAGATGCATGCAGCAGGAGCTGTGGGATACTGGTTGCTGCAGTCCAAAGAGGAAACCCTTCCCATCTCTGCCATCAGAGGGACTGTTCATTTTCCCTCAAAGCCAATTCAAAGCGCAGGCAAGTCCTCCCCACCCAGAAGCCCCTCTGTAGCTTTCAAGGTCAGCCTCACACTTACCTTTTCTTTGGGGGCGGCTCTTCTTCCTCAGAGTCTTCCTCCTCCTCCTCCTCTTCCGACTCCTCTTTCTCTGAGTCTTCCTCGTCTTCCTCGTCTTCTTGTGCTTTTTGTTTCTCTGGGAACAGGACGCTTGGGCTGCAGTGGTGGGAGAGAAAAGGGCAGCTGAGTAGCCGTTCCCCCCCCCCCGGCTTTGCCACGCTGAGTTAGGAAGAGTGTTCACAAAGGACCCCCCCCCTCCTTCCCTGGGCACCTCTGAGCACTGCCCAGGCCAACCAAATAAGCTGACTGCAAGTGACCAAATGGGTTGGTGAATATCCCTTGGAACGGACTCCCCCAGAAAGTGGCAAACAGAGGCCGGATGGCCACCAGTCCTGGATTCCTCCACTGCAGAGTTCCTGCATCAGCCATGAGATGGACTAGGTGACCTCCCAAGACCCCTTCGTTCTCTGCAGAGGTTGGAGCTCTAATCCATGGACCGCCAGACAGGGTGGAAAGAAACCCAGGCATGAAAGAAGGGTCCCAGCTGCCTCTTACCTGGGATAGTAGGGGAAGCACAGCTGGAAGGTGCCGCTGAAGCCCTTCCCAGAAATCTGCTCCATCCATCCGTACTTCTCACATTTCTGCAGAGTCCTCTTCAGAAGGTGGACTGTGGGGTCAGGAGAGAGAGGGAGGCCTAAGGAGGAGAGCCTGCAGGACTTGCTCCCATCCGCACAACACGTGATATGCCGGGCGAGAGCCCACCTCTAGCCCTAAAAGAGACCTCTGCAGCCTTTGCAACCCCGTTTTCCTGGGAGTCTGAGATGCACCCACCAGGGTTCGCAGCAGCCCTGCGGGGACCAAACGCTCACAGGAGGAGATGGCGCAAGAGAGCTGCCCAAGCCAAATATTTCCAAGGCTATTTAGGTGCTTCCACCTTCCCAAACAGCCTCCTGGGAGCTGAATCTACCTGCTCCCTTTGCTGCTTCGTCCCAGGCACGGAGGGGACTCTGCGCTCCTCCCACCTTTTGCATTAAATGCTTTTCCCTCTCTTCTCATCTCTGACAAAGCCTGAAGAGATTGCCGCCACAGGGCGAGCTTCCACCTGGCCCTTGCTCCTCTTCCCTGGGCAGGAAAGGAAAGGGGAAGATCACAAACCCTCCTAAGGAACCGAGCGACTGCAAGGAGTGCTATCAGACAGTAAGGGCTCAGAAATCCCCTTCTGAACCGTTCTTTTACCATATATTCTGAAATTAGCACCTGCCTCCTTCTCTGATGGTTGTTCCAAGTGTAAAGAACATGTATTTTGTTTTGTTATGCTTCTAGGACCAGTGCCTTAAGGTACAGAGGCCAGGCACCACATAGGGTCACGCTTTGTTCCAGCAGAATAGAAGCAGGAAACTGCTTTGAGCTGCCCACGGACCCCCTCCTGGCAGAGAGAACAGGCCTCATTGAACCTACAAGGCAGCCTGCATGGATAATTGACTGGATGGCTTCCATCAAGCCACATATTCTTGCCAAAATGTGGCTATTTTCTACAGCAGGCATCTCTTTTAAAACACACACGGAGAACAAGCGAGGGAGAGGGGCCTACACTCAAGTTTTCCCACAGTGTGTGTGTGTGTGTGTTTGTGTGCATGCTATAAGGGCTAATTTTAAAACCCGAGATCTGCGAGGAGTGACCCGATCTCCTTCCTACCCTGGAAGCTGGAATTTGTGCCCGGATGCTTCTCCAAGACGTATTTTTTCAGGGCGGTGGTGGAACAGGTCTTGGGCTCATTCATGGCCGCAATGGCAGAGAGGATGGCATCTTCCATCAGGCTCCCACCCAGCAGAGGTTTCTCCCCAGATTTCTTCAACTGTTTAAAATCAACAACAAAACACATCAGGACACCTTGGCCCGGCCCAGCCTGGCCCCACCGCCCACCTGATCTCCCTCCCGCCTGGGTAAAGGCAGGAGTGGCCGCTGCCAACCTGAAATGTCCCGGAAGCTCCTTTGCCTGTGATCTGCTCCAGCTGGCCCTTCTCCACTGCTCTCTGCAAGGCATTCTTCAGCAGCTGGGGTCTACAGGACAGGGAGAGGGAGAGGGAGAGAGAGGGAAGCCCCCCTGTTACGAGCACCTTTTCGCTGGGACCAGTCTGCCAAGAAAACAGATGGGGAAGGGGGACGCAAGAGGGCCTCCCTTCTGCTACCCACAGGGAGTGTCACTCCATACATAGGTCTCCTGGTGGCCTGCCCATGGCCAAGATGAAACCACGGAGGAGCTGATGGGCTTCTGCAGAAACAAGAATTCCCCCAAGCAGAACTGAGAGGCTTCCTACTTGGGCCTGGGGTTTACAAAAGAACTCAGAAGGGCTCTCCTAAAACCACAAGAGATGGTCTCGACAGGCCCCAGTGAACCTCACGGCTAAGCAGGGGTGAGACTCCAGGCCTCTGGAGTCCCCACCGGGACTCCCCCCCCCCCCCGGCCTCAGCCTTCTTGCCGGCCAACTACAAGGAGGGCAGAAAGCGCTGAACTGAGAAAACGATGCTGGGGCTGTGGGCCCAGCTGTTTCCACCCACCTGATGTCCACTTTCAGCTTGGGGTAATACTGGGAGACATATTTTTTGATCAGACTGTATGAGGCTTCCTTCGGCTCACAAAGGCGGGTGAAGGCCAACGGGAGGATGTCTTCCAGCTTCATCTGCTGCTCCGGGCCGGAGGCCGAAGAACTCCTCTGAAAGACCAAGACCAGGCCGCCCCCTGCTTTTCTAGACATTGCCCGTTCAAAGGGACCACCAACACGACTGTCCTGAGGTTTAGGCACTTCACACGAGGGTTTTTCTCCCCCTCCTCCCTCCCTCCCTCTCTCTCTCACATACAAAGGACAGGCCAGTCCTTCCTTGCGTGTCTCCATGCAGCCTCACGACAGGTGAGTAAGTGGCTGCATCTGTGGAATATCAGCTTTCTTTGGAAGAAGCAGATGACTTGATCCATACAGTTCTAAACACCTCTTTGCTGGAACCTCTGGAAATTACTTTTCTTACGGAGAATAAAGCAAGCCACCATGGGAAGGGCTCGGCCCATGGGCTACTGAGCCGACTCCTCTGATAGCCAGGTTACTCTGGGTGGGTGGGTGGGTGGGTTTGTCGCCTTTCATAACTGCTGCCCCCTCTGGGAGCAGAAGGTGGGCCTCCGGCACCTCCACCCAGCTTACCTTCCGATCCCGTGATTTGGAGGCTGTTTTCCCTGAGTTTGGGGCCACCACAAAGCTCCCCGAGGCTCCTTTTCCTTTCACCTAGATCAGCAAAGGGAGAAGGCTGCAGGCACAGGGTCGGCTTCGGATCTCTCCCACTCCACCTGCCCCTGCTTCCATCCGGGACCAGCTCAGCAGCTCGATGCATAGCCCGGCCTGGCCGAGCTCCTGCCCTGCTGGGCCACAGCAGCGCCTGCAACTCGGGGCCCTTACCTGCCGAATGACTCCTCGCTCCAGCTCCCGCTTGAGGGCCTGTTTCAGGAGGAAGCCCCTTCGCTCCAGCTCCAGGGAAGGATACTTGTTGATGATGTACTTCCGGATGGCGACCACGGAGGCCCCGCCCTTCTGGTAGCAAGCCTGGAAGGGAACCGATTCGTTCTGTGAGCCGCCAGTCTTAGGGCCAAGGGAGCAGGGACGGAAAGGGTGCAAATCAGGGATGGAGGGAAAAAAGGGCAGCCACGGTCAACTTTGTGGTGTGGCAGCTCCACCAAGTGGGTGCTTCAAGCACTCCTTTGTTTTTTTCTTGTATTTTCACAGAGAAAGGCAGAAGGGTTCACCCTTCAATCTTACAAATCTGAGACAAGATGTAGGCTCCCATCTGCCATCGCCTCCTCCCACAGCCCCTCTGCTCACCTTGATGGCCTCGATCAAAATGGCATCCATCTTGGGGCGGGAGGAAGCGGCCATGTGGGTCTGCTTCTGAGCCCTGGCCAGCTGGCTGGCGGAAAGGGTGGCCCAGGCCGGAATGGTCTTCTTGACCTTCTTCTCCTTCTCTTTGGCAGCCGGGTCCTTCTCACTGTCTCAAACAGACAGACAAGGAGAAGCAGAGAAATCAGGCAGGACCCCCGGCAGGCGGAAAGCATCTCCTGGGGCAGAGGGGGACCGAGAGCCCCTGGCGGTCTAGGACTCGGCCCCAGGACCCTCTCCAAGGCCCACGCTGTGGGGCCCCACGGCTGAGGTCACTGGGAGAGCCCCTTCCGCCCTCCCTCCCCGCCTTGCAGGAGCTCAGGCGGCCATGCTCCTTACTCCTTTTTGGCTTCTTCGGCAGGCTTGGCCTCCCCCTTCTCCTCGGCCTCCACCTCCTTGGGGGGCTCCGTCTCAGGTGGGGCTGGGGGAGGCGTCTCATTCTCCTGCTCCTCCACGGTAGAAGCGGATTCTTCTGAGCTGATGTCGGGATCTGAGGAGAAGTGGGTGTGGGGAAATCATGACATGGAAAAGGCTGCATCTGGAGAATCAAAACATCCCTGGCTGAGGAAACTCCTGCATAGGAAAGCGTTTGACTCAGCAAGGGAGAAAAAGCTGAGCGCAGGCGGCCCAAAATCTCACCCAAGCAAGCCTGGACCGCATCGGGGGGGGGGATTTCAGTCATGCTCCTCCCAGGGCCCCCTTCCAGGTGGGCTAGCCATTTGTAAGCAGGTGTAAGGGCAACAGCCTCTCTCTCTGTCTCTCTGATTCTGACACAGCTGCTGGCCGGTACTCAGGAAGCTTGGCAGGAGCTAGCAGGAAGCACATGCACGGATGGAGGCCTTTGCCTGTGCCTGCCTTTTGAGTCAGGTGGGTGGCTGGGGGGGGGGAAGAGTGGCCGCTTAGCAAGCTCTGCAGGTGGCCAAAGGCTACTTCAATCACCCTTCTTGCAGCACAGCAACTGGAGTTCCCAGTTCTGTCCCTGGCCTTTTCAAGTGAAAGGTTTTCAGCAGCAGGACTGGGCCGAGGCCCACCTCTCTCTGCCTGGGAGCCCTGGGTCAGCAGACACCGTGCTGGGTGAGCAGCAGAGCAGGGAACAGGGCATAATGGGGACAGCAGGCCACAAAGCCGCTTGCAGGATAGCTGGTTCACTAGTCAGCCTGGAGGGCACTCCGTGGTGCTCGGCTGTCACAGGCGCCAGGACCCACGACCACCAACCAACCAACCAACCGCCAGGCAGCCCCTCCATGGGAGAAGCAGTGGGCATGGGAAGACCTGTCTTTACCCGGCTTGGCCTCCTCGCCTTCCACAGGTTTGCTTTTTGGAGGAGTTTCTCGGGTGGACGAATTCACAGCTCGGCGGATTGGCATGGTGCCGTCTTCAGTGGTCTGCGTGGGGGGGGGGAGAGAAAAGGGGAGAGCAAAGGGTCACAGGGCTCCTGAATGGTGTCAGCACCAAAAGGAACTGGGGGGAGATGCCCCGCAGGCAGCCTCAGCCATCCCACCACCGAATCCCTCTAACACCAGAACAGCAGACGGCAGTTTCCAATGTCCTGCTTCTGCGGGATCTTCCTGAGAACCACCAGTCCCTTTTCTGCTTCAGCTCGGGATGGCAGGAACAAAGGGACCCAGCGAGGAAGATCCAGAGGAGAAGGGAAAGGCATGGGACCAGGAGAGAGGGGTGGAGAGGGGAGGGGGTTGGAGCAGCCCCAGCGGAGAGTCCTAGAAGCAGCAGGGAGGAGGAGGAGGAGGAGGAGGAGGAAGAGAGCAGCCGGTGGGAAGGCAGGTTCAAGGGCGAGAGCGTGGAGAAGGGTCAGCCCCTACCTCACTCCACTTGTCCAGGGGAGCTCCCGTTAAGAGGGGAAGCGCCTTAGGGCCTGCGGGATCAGCTTCTGACAGATCGGTCGCCATTTTAAATTAATGTCTAGCCCCCAAGGTGAGGGTTAACCCTCTTGGAGCCCCAGGTTTTTTAACCTCAAGGGGGAGGGAGGCCTTCCTAACAACCTGGAGTGCAGAAAAGACTTGGTGAATACAAGGAGGAGAAACAAGAACAGAACTGAAAATGTCATATCTACATCTATGCCACCAAGGAGTTAAAGCCGAACCAAAACCAAACCAAACTAACCCAACCCAGGCATTTGTGGAGGAGACGGATGGACGAGAAACCCATCCTGGCTGTTCGGCAGGGAAGTGGAAACCTCTTCCACTTCCCCTGGCAGAAGCCGAGTGGGAGGGACCAGGGAGCCGTCGGTGTCCACGTGGGCCAGAGCTGCTCCAGGGAGAAGGGGCCCCGGGAAATGGCAGGGCAGCCGAACGCCTACGCTGTGCTTCCTGTGGAAGGACCGCTCACAAAAGGCCATCCGGATAGTGGGTGGTGACGGTTTCTCCAGTATTAGGCTGCTGGCACCTTTATTCTGCGCCCCCCCCCCGGCATGCATCCATGGCACTCCACGCCAACCCAGCATCCCTGGTTCAGGGCTGGTACCCAGAGTTTGGGGCAGCAGCAGAAGTTGAACTGAAAAAGCTCAGTGCTTTCCATGTGTTGTTCGCCTTCAAAGGCCAACCCCCTGCCTCCCTAGAGGTCAGGCCTCTCAGACTTAAGGTCCCTTGCAGCCCACCAGTCAGTCACTCTGCCAAGGGATGCCAGGGCCAGGAAAAACAAAACCGAAAGGCTCGCTTTCCCTGAGACAGATACCCAAACATTTACAAGCCTTTAGTCCATTATTATAGCTACAATTTATAATGAGCTTAACAGATACAAGAACTGCAGTTCTGTTGTACAGCCTAAACACAAACAATTTAAAATAACTGTATTATTAGTCGAGAACTTCGATAACAACGTTGATTAGAAATAACGGGTAACTGCATGAAAACTGTGCCCTACCTTAAGCTTACTTCTATGTCCCACTGGATGAGGATAAAGGGCCGCTGGTTTCTTGACCAGCTTAAAAAACAAGCCAACATCCAGCCCCACCAATGTCCCTTGGCCCCTTCCCTTCACCCTCCATGGTGTCTAGACAAGCACCTGGCAAACAGCATAGAGTCTGTAGGCACCTCCCTACAAGCAAAAAAGTGTTATTAACAGGAGGTGTTTTTTTTTTAATTATTAATTGATTTTACATAGTTTTTTTGTTTAATTGGTTTATATGGTTATTGGATTTTCTACATTGTAATTACGCTTCTGTGTTTTTTATTTAATGTGCTATTTTATTTATTTATTTATTTATTTTATTTTATTTATATCCCGCCTATCTGGTCGTGTGAGGACCACTCTAGGCGGCTAACAACATAAGAATAAACAATAAAAATACATATAACCAAAATACATATTGTTCTACATTTTGTTGTGAGCCACCCAGAGTGGCCTGGCTAGTCAGATGAGCAGTATACAAACTGGAAGGATGAACGAGCAAATAAACAAGCAAGCTCCCTTGGAAACAAACAAATAAGCTTCCTTTTCTGGAAAATTTGTGCCAAGTGAAAAAGCTCCCAGCCAC